ATAGCTCATTAGGACCTATATGATGCACATAGTTCCGGCTCAAAAGCAATTGATCAGTTGGTGACCCTCCCTCGTTAGTAGCGTAACTATCCCTGACAATGAACCACTATTAATAAAATTCATTCAAACAAACGGAGTTTAGAGCAAATTATATAACAAAATACTTAAATAAAAACAAAACATTTACATTGGTGGGTTCGTTTTTCTCATACTTGCAAGCTTCATTTTTTTCCTTCTATTTCTATCTCCATATTAATTTTCTATTTTTTTGTTGCTTTCTTTTCGCACATATTTATGACCATTTAAAATATGCGTATTTCTCATTTATTCTTCTTATTTTTTTACAAACGCATAATAAATTATTTATTTTCTCTTTTTTTTTGTTTGTCTCTATCTTCACTCTTTGCAAAATCTAAAATTGAGAGACGAATAGAAATCATAACGAGTCATGATGATTAACTGCCACCTTCTCGTTATATACTCTCTTTTGTTAGACTAGATGGGTTTCGATTTTATTCTTTTCTTTTGTCACGATGTTCTTGCTTGTTATTCTTCTCCATAGTGATGAAGAATTTTTAATGTATCATTATCCACCCTCAATATATGCATAAAGTTTCAGCTTAATAAAGAACATAAGAATTTCATATGTTCACATACACAATTTATAACTGATATTCAGGGCAAGATGGAACTACTCGAATATAGTGTTTTCATTCACTATAGATAATAATAGATGAAATATTTTGTAACAGGATGTAGGAATGAATGAGGGGTGAGAGTCTGAGTGTCACCATTTGAAAAAAATGGTAAGATTTGTCGCAAACAAGTAAAGTCCAATTTAGAAATATACAAAAAGTTACACATAAAAAAAGAAAAAAACGCACACGATACATTAATATGTGGATTTATAGTTTCTTACGATATAATTGTTATTTGGAAGTTATTCTAAAATCTGATCAGAATACAAATGATAGAAATCAATATCGCCACTAATATAATACATTGAATAATTTAATCATTATCAATAATTAGTTTTTTATATCTAAAAAAATAAAAAAAAAAAGAATATCATACGTAGAGAAATTCCATGCAAATTTGAAGTACAAATATCTACTATTTTCGTGCGCAATATTTGAATATTTAAATGATTTCGAATATTACCGAATTAAAGTGTTATCTTGGTTCTCTGGGCTTCAACAGTAGTTTTAATAAATAAAAGTTAGTTGGAAACTTTCATCTGAGAAAAAATGAAAAACAAGAAGTCAACAAATAGTATTTAGAATATACATAACTTGTTGTACTAATATGTCTCTATCGAGTTGAAGAGAAAAGAAAAAGTTATGTTGGACGGTTGTAATATGTGGACTTTGCATCTGATTGGCTTATACCTTCTATATGAAGTGATCCAAATGACTTTGGTTCACATGTTTGGTCCACTTCTGTGGACCTCATAACAAACATTTCATGACATTTAGATGACTAAAGCATTATCCATGGTTTGTCAAAATGGATATGATAGTAAGAAAGAATAAGCGAATGAGCGAGCTGAAGAGAAGGATGACTCACAAAAATAATATCATAAATAGCAGATTGAGAAAATCTATGTTGGTTATACTGAATCATATGGTTTTCCATACTGCTCTTTCTCTTATTACTCTTCGCTCTTGTTTTGATCTCAGTTGAGGTTTAGCCATACTCAAAGCATATATAAAGATTCGTGTTCCGTTTGTTTTCGCTACGTATGTATAGTTTTGTTAACGAATTTTTAAATAAATCTTTTTTTCTTCTCTATCAGTTAGTTTATATCTCATTTTTTATTTGATGAATTTTGGTTTTTCTATAACGATTAATAAAATTTGTTGAAACATCTCTGGTTTTCATTAAAATAGTTATTCTCCATGCAAAAATCTCAAAATCCTTTTTTTCCAGGAAAAATCATGGTTTTCACTCAGCCGACTACAGAAATCATCAAGATTTTCAGTCAAAGTAGGAACGTTCGATAAAAAAATCATATGATATCTGAAAGATCTAAAGACGAACTATCTTCTCAGGCATTTATCTCAATATCAAAAATTCGGACGAAAATTGACTTTTTTGAGTGGGGGGAGGCCTTAAAATATGATGCGACCCATCTGTGGACCATGTCATGGGAAATATGTTAAAACATTTATTTCGGTATTTGTGGGAATGAATTTTAAAAAGTTATGAATTGGAGAAAAATGTCGCAGCTATTTTTGCTGGAACGATCGAAATTACCCGGATTGGTTTGATTGACTGATCATCTTGTCATATCTATCGCCATTTTCTCCTATACTTTTTTATAATACATCTCTTTTCGAAGATTCTTTCGTCAATGGAAAGGAAATACGTTGTTCTACTTATGATTCAAAAATTGGATTCTTACTACATAAAATAAGTGTGAATGATGAAAAATAAAATGAAATTTTTGATTTTTGATCAGAATTACTCCGGCAGACTCTATAATTTAGTTTTATTTCTCAAGTTGTATTCATCACTTTACATTCTTTATTTTATATTTGCCTATTCATAGTGTAATAGCGGTAATTTTTTAAGTGTAGACTTTTATATGAGAAAAAGTTAAATCATTTAGTTTAGTAAAATCATTATACATTAGTATTGCATTGAAAACATTTTTAAAGATGTGTTTTCATTAAATCTTTTTATTTTGAGAGCGCTTTTGTTAATATTAGAAATACTTATTGTTTGTTTCTACCTCGATATTTTCTTTATAGAGAAATTATTAATATAACGGAATATTTAATAGTTACAGAACAAATTCTATTTAAAAAATGACAAATAGTTTAATCAAAGTTAATTTCAGCTTTGACATTTTTTTATCATTTTAAAATCGAAAGTGACGTGTTGGAACTATGTGGAAAAAAGGAAAGATAATATATAGTTTTAAAAATATCTTTTTTCTAGAAAAAATACGTAATTTACAAATGGGAAATAATCAAATCTCAGCTTTACACTTAGGTGACTTCATAGATGTTTATATCACACAAAAAGATGGAAATCTAAAACATTATTGGGCAAATAATTTTACTGGATTGGTTTATCAAAATGAAATTACAGTTATTCGATATGAAAACAATATTGACATATATGTTCTAACTAAAAGCAGAAGTTTAGTACATTTATCGAGTGGAGACTACACAAATTGGAAATACCATAATGAAGTTTTAGTTGAAGGGATATCTGAGCCTCCAGTTGCTGTAAGATGGAAAAATGGTATTGATATGTATTGCTTTGATAATGATGGTGTTCTCTTACATTTACACGCTTCTCCAAGTACAAATTGGCAATATGAAAGAAAAGAAATATATCGTTCATCTAATCACACACGCTTATTCGCTCTACGAACAAAGTGCGAAGCAATTGACTTGCATTTTTTGGAATCTGGTCATATTATACATTTACACGTAGGAGATCACAACGGTTGGGTATATGCAAATGAAAGAATTTTGGAAGGTACTAATATTCCAAATGGAAATTTATCTGCTACTCGAACTGATGATTGTATAAATCTTTTCTATTGTGATGAAACTGGACATGTGTGTCATGCAATTTGTGGTGATTTCACGGGCGGATCTTATCAAAATCGAGGACCTATTTCAATATCAATAATTGCCCGAAATAAGAAGTTTTCAGTGGTTCAACATGAAAATAATATCGATGTTTATTTTATTGGAAATGATAACTGTGTTCATCATAATTATAATGGTGTATACAATAATTTTACTTGGAATTCAGATGAAATTATTTCATTATCTGATGCTATTTCAGGAATTGCAGCTGTTCGCCCTTATCAAAAAGCTATTGACGTTTATTATTTAGGACAAGATGAACAATTAAAGCATTTATTTATTGGAGAAGGAACTAATAATGATTGGAGTAGATATCAAACTGACCTATCGAATCCTATACTTTATTGGGAAAATCTAAGACATATTACCACAATTATTGGTGGAGGATATCATAGTAAAATATATTTAATACGAAAGGATTCTGATAAATTTATTGTAAAAAAATTCAAAATACCTAATCCATCAGCAATAAGATCAGAGATGATTATATTGAATAAATTGGCTTCAATTTGGCCAAATTTATGTCAAGCTCAAATATTTGAAAATGGAAATTTAGCTGGATTTGCAATGCTTTATATTGAAGGCAAAAAGTTAGATAAAATTTTACAAGACAAGGAAAATATATTTCATGAAAGTGCATCAGCTAGAATTAAGCTAATAAAAATTATTGGAGAATATATGAATCGAATGCAAAAATTAGGTATTTGTCACGGTGACTTTTCATTAGATAATATAATGGTGAATCAAAAGAATAAAAATAGTACAAATGATGTTACTGTTATGATATTAGATTTTGGCAGTAGTTTTTTCTTTAATTCTAATACACGAACATAAGCAATTTTAACTGGTTGGCAATGTCTTAAACCATCTGAATCGAAATTCAGTAAGCCATATAACCCAACAGGCGTAAATGCTTATCAATTTGCAAGAGTTGCGATTCAAATATTGTTGTTAACTCCATTTTCATCCTATAAAAACATTAACAGCAATCCAAGTCATGAATTAAAAAAGTTAGAAAAATTTAGGTTTGATAAATCTTCGATTAATTTCTTAGGAAAAGGGGTTCATTCGGATATTAATAAAAGAAATGCTATTTTAAATGAGATTGATTCAACTCATAATTTGGATTCATTTGATGATCATTATGTGAATAGCAACATCGAATCGTCAATCAATGAGAAAACTCAATCAAACATTAAGCATAGAGACGTAGAAGAGACTCAGAATTGCTTAAACCTTTAAGGAATGAAATTGATTTTAAAAAAGCCTTTGAAACAATTTATGATTTTCTACGAAAGAATCTCCAAGCAGAGTGGCAAGCAGTTGAAGGCAAAAATGATATACTTTTGTATGGATCTGCCGGTATTTCAATTGAAGATGATATTTTTATAACAATAAATGCTGAAGCTAAAGTAGTGCTATTTAAAATAATCTCAGATAGTGGAAGTAATATTACGACAGTTGACTTTGAAATTTTGAAAGCGCAAATAGGTGTTAAAATTGGATCTTATAATGGTTTTGAGCTTTACGTTGCGTTAGTAGAAGGAAAAGTATCTGTGCTTGATATTAAAATAGGAGCAGGCATTAGTTCAGATGTTGGCATAAATCAAGATAGTTATGAAACAAAAGTATTTAGTACTGGATATTTTGTCGGTCGAAGAATAGGAATGTCTGTTTTTGATTCTGAGTTTGGAGTTGATTTTAAACGGTTTTTTTCTGATGAACAATGGAATGCTGTAAAGCCTATTCTGTACACCGCATTGTAAGCTACTTTTCCACAGCTTTATGTTTTTGGACAACTCAGCAAATTATTTTCTAACGTCTCAAGGGATGGGAGATCAATAGAAATGGCAATAGAAAATTTTACTTTTTATCATTTCGTTTTCCATGATCAATATTTTGATTGTGGAACTATTGACAAAAATTACTCGAACAGTATAAGAAGAGGAAATAAAACTGAATTTTCAGTGTGTAAAAAAGTAGGATTTTATGGAGTAGAAGGGACGGTTATTTATCGTGAGAGTACGTTAAATAAAAATTTTGCGTTCTCATTTTTTAATCCAATATCAGGAGGTAATACAATTGTATGTAGAGCTTATAAATCTGAAGACCCCGAAAGCGATGCCAAAAGAATTCACTACACATCAGAATCAAAAAAACAATCTTCTGACACAACACATATTATCAATGACGAGGATCCAGATTTCGGATTGATTTATATAATTAAGAGTGGAAATAATTCAAGAGCTTTCTTTAGAGTAATTAGTAAAAAGTTAATTTTGGACTAGCATGGACGACGCAAGCTCAATTTGCTAGGGGAGGCAATAAATTTTTTAAGCTGATAATGATAATAAGTTTTCAATTTTAAAAACCTTTATTGTTACGATCAATGCTATTAACACTATTATGTTGTTCTTTTCGTGCTCTCTTTTCTTAGTTTATCGCCTTTTTTCTTTTCGTTTGATTCATATCCAGTCCTTTATATATAACTATAAGAACGTATGTGTTTTCCGTTTCTCTTTCTCTCTCATGTTTTAGTATGTATGTATGCATGCATCTTCTCTTGTTAAAATGAAATGATTTCTTTAACAAACATATAACCAATTTATTTTCAAACTATTGTTTTCTAGAGATCATTAACACTTTTTAGGCGCAACTCCAGTGTCCAACTAGTATCATAGGTCTTTGAAACATGGCTTTCTTCAACAACTTTGGTTAAAAATCAATTCACGAGATATAGGTTTTTACGCTCTTTTTTATGGCATACTTTTGAACGAGTTTGGGTTCAGTTTTAGCTTGGAAGCATTGATTTTCTTAGATTTTAACCCTATGCAAGGTACAACTTGATTTTATAGACGAAGCATTAGAATTTTTACAAGTTCTTTGTGTCAGCGAATAGTCAACGCTCTTATATATTAGTTGATGTATTATCGAAAACAATCGGTCGAAGACTGATGGGAAAAAAACGTTTAAAGATATTGCTGTTCTTATAATCTTGGCCAGGCAAAAACGATGAGTAATGTTTCAATATTTTCTTTAATACTGATCATATGACATGCGGACCTACTCTTCATATATTATGAAAGAGCACATCGAAATCTAGGTAGAAGACTGAATATCAGTCGAATACATCATTTGTAGAAAGAGAAACACGAAATAAATAGGCGACTAGCAGTCTGTTCTTATAATTTTGGCCACTACTGTATATTACATTTATAACGCTCGGAGTTTGTGAATTCCACATTTCGGCCCCTCTGGGGGCCGCACTGACAATTTTTTTCAATTGGAAACAAAACTGTACAACTGGCCGTAAGAAGAGACAGTAATGTAACATATCATTCATAGATGATATCTAAAAGATCTACACTCCACCCTCTTACCCACTATGGATAGACAAATTCACTGAATATAGAGAAAAGCTTCTAGTGGACATTTTTAACAAAGCGAACTTCCTTTGTTTTTACTGAAATCACTGCCAGAACAGGTTTGTGACCACTTGTGGTTCTTGTTTCTTCGATCGTCTGGATGAAGACAGAAAACTCAGATGTAAACACATAGTCAATAATTCGACCACTTCTTAGTGATGTCGAAGAGTCTGGAGTAAATAGACACAGAAACATAGAATCCGACCATGATAGTAACATTTCAGCTTTGGCTTTATCCTTTTCAAGGTTCACATTAAAATCACCGAAGGCAATGCAATTAAAAGAAATAAATGTAGTCAAATCCTTCCAATTCCAAGATCTCGCCTCCGAACTGTACACACCTGAAAGTCTCAATTGTACTGCAGAGTCCTGATGAGCGTTTCAATATATTAATAAATAATACAAAACGCGTCAGCGAACTTAACTCTGCATTTCTTTTAAATTATTTTAGTTCAGCACATTTATCGATTATTATTTTCTTGTTATTTAATTTTCGACAGGATATCAATTGCTGAAAGGCAAAGTTAAGAATAGCAGATTGAACTTGTCTTTTCGTTAATGGATAGGTCGCTCTGTTTTCTAATTGACAATAGTACAGAGCGCGTCTGCGAAATTAGCTGTGCATTTATCTTTATTTATTACTTATACAAAGTAAATTATTTTCTCATTAAATTGCTATTTGGTTTTCAACTTTATCAACTTCTGAAAAGTAAGAGTTGATAGCAGCAGGTTATTTTGTCTCATAGACATATAGGTCAATCTGTTCTACGATTGATTTATCCACCATGATGAGACTCTAAAGCAAGGCCCGAACGCCTCCAAGTTTGTTTCACTCATAATTGCAGTAAAGATATGTGCTATTATGATGGAGAGTCTTTCGAGAATTTACCGTGAAAATTATAGCCTATGCATCACACTTTTGATGTTCCCAATCATTTGAATGGATTCTTAGTCAGCACTGTGTGATAAGATCCTTAAGTGGGATAGAAACGCATCATACTTTGGTTGAGGCAGTCACTCTCAATCGTAGTTTATTTGAGCATAGAATCAAAAGATGAATAAGAAAAGATTACAAGAAATATTAGTGAGACTACGTAGAAGTTAGAAACAGTGAATGAAATTTAAAAAAGTTCAAGGTAGAAGTTGCGACATTAACAAGTCTGCAAGAAAATTTTTAGATTGTCAGCTCCTTCATTGGCGACGGCAAAATCCAACTTTCCGTCATTGTTCAAATCACCAACAGAAATCGAGAACGGAAGAGAGCCGTAACCGATCGAAAAACTTTTTACATCAGCGAAGGAACCATTGCCATATCCAAGCAACACACCGACGTTGCTTGTGCCATAATTGGTGACAATAATGTCCAGCAAGGTGTCGTTATTGAAATCACCAACGACAACCGCGTTCGGTTGAGAGTTGAAACCGGTTGAAAACGTTTTCTGGCTCGAAAAAGAACCATTACCCTGTCCGAGAAATATACCAACAGTGTCATTGCCATGATTCACGGTGACAATGTCAAGTATTGTATCGTTGTTGAAATCACCAACAGCTACAGCCCATGGAGAAGAATCAGTTGAGTATGCCATTTGATTTGCAAAAGAACCATTGCCATATCTTAGAAAAATACCGGTGTTGTTAGTGCCTGAATTCGCAACTGCAATATCTGTTTGACCATCATTGTTAAAATCCCCAATGGCGAACGATCTCGGTCGAGATCCATTCCCAGTTATGAGCCTCATTTGATGTAGAAAACCTTCCTTGGGATATCCAAGATATACCATAACATTGTGCCCATTTAAATTAGCAACGACGATATCCAGTCGGATATCATTATTGAAATCACCAATTGCTACAGATGAAGGACTATAGCCAGTTGAATACATCATTTGATTTGTAAAAAAGCCATTGCCATATCCAAGAAGGACACTTATAGTGTTGTCATTCCAATTAGTGACGACGATGTCCAGTCGATTGTCGTTATTAAAATCATCAACAGCTACAAAAATTGGTTTAGAGCCAGTTGAATATTTCGTTTGATTCGCAAAAAAGCCATTGCCATAACCGAGAAGGACGCTTAAAGTGTTGTCACCGTAATTAACGACGACGATATCTAGATGAGTGTCGTTGTTGAAGTCACCAACAGCTACAGATAATGGCAAAGAGCCAGTTGCATATGTCGTCTGATCTGCAAAAGAGCCATCGCCATATCCGAGAAGGATGCTTATAGTATTGTCAGCCCGATTAACGACGACGATATCCAGATAGATGTCATTATTAAAATCGCCAATAGCTACAGACCGTGGGGAACTGCCGGTTAGATATGTCGTTTGATTTGCAAAAGAACCATTTCCATATCCAAGAAGGACACTTATAGTGTTATCACCAAGATTAACAACAACGATATCCAAT